GGCCCCATCCCTGGAAACATTCAAGGCCAGGTTGGACGGGGCTCTGAGCAGCCTGATCTAGTTAGCGGTGTCCCTGCTCCTGCGGGGGGGTTGGACTAGATGACCTCTAGGGGTCCCTTCCAACCCTAAACATTCTATGATTCTATGATTCTATGATTACTGCCACCTCTATAGCATTTGACTTCTTTTAAGTGGTTACAGAAAGGATACAGGTCTCAATATTCGCTCCAACGATGTAGCCGTTGACATCAAAGTTGATTCTGATGAACTTGCCCTAAGAGGAAGATAATAGCATTAAAATTAGTATTCATTCTATCTGGTAACAGCAGTGAACAAGCAAAGGTAAACCTTCTCTTTTTAATCCAGGAAAGGAAATTCAGAACAGGTCAGGCAGGTTTTTAGGCAAAACATAAGGTCACCCAATAGGCAATGCCTGCTGATCACAACAGCAATTTAACAAACAAGACACCAAACACTTTCAGACATTTCTGACATGCAGACAGCCTACAATTCAAATTCATTATGTTTCAGAGTAGATTTCCCACAAGCAGGGTCCCCTCAGTTTCATGTGCTATATGATCTAGACAGTTCCACCTCCTTCAACGTTAGCTTCAACCATTTTCATTTAGTTCCAGCTCTAGCTCCCCCCACCTACCTCTCAGACACTGTCCATTGCTCTCTAGAGCAAGTAAAATAAAGACTAGTATTTGCTCTCAAACATAAAACTGACTGTAACAAACTTAGAATAAAAATCGGCATAGATGATCCTGGCACAAGGTCAGGTTCCTTCATTCCAGAGACGTATCATGTCTATTCTGGATAATTCACTGAATTAAATTCACTTCCCAGATTAAATTGAGGGAAGTCACTCAGACAGTTATCCTATCCTTGACAGGAATTCACCCCGAAGCAGACCTAGTCTTCCCTCTGGGAAGTCTACAATACTGGCACCCACACTGGATAGTAATACTCACAAATCTTGAGGAGTTGTCATTCTTTACTGTCTTGGCATTTCCAAAGGCCTCCAGGATGGGATTAGCCTGGAGCAACTGTCTCTCCAGTTCTCCCTGGAGAGAAATCAGAAATTAATAAAGTAGGTAGCGGTTTACTGCATTAACCTTGGGTCAAACCAGCGCTGAAGTTTCAGTTCACACTGGCTTGGCATCTGTTGCAGTGCAGCCATATTAAACCTTAGGAGATGATCCCTTAAACCTTCAAAGGAGACTCATTAGTTATCTGGGTAAAACAGAAACATTCACAAATATGTCTTATTTCCTTCCTCAACACAAGGGCATCCCAGTGCTGTCTTTCTGTTAAGAAGCAGCCCTTCAAAGCCACTCGGCCATAACATCCCACAGACTTCCCAGGATCAAAGTGAAACACTGCACCATCCAAGATCAGGCCCTCATCCCAAAAGTGTCTTGCCATCTAGGCTGGAAGAGTGAGGAAAAACCTGTCTTGCTACTGCAAGACAGCCTTGAACTCTGCCAGCAGTAGGTTAAGAAGCTAATCCGAAAAGGTCTAATGTTTTTTTAAAACGAAACAAAAAACTTGCACTAAGACTCTACATCTTCTAAAATACAAAGAAGCAAAAACCTCCTTTGTAAGGAGGCACACAAAAAAAGAGAATTAGTGGTATGCCACAAACTACATGATTGCTTGCATTCTGCTGCCACATTTGCACACTCCTCCCCTCAAGGAGCACAAAATGCTGGAGCTGTAGAAAAAGAAAAATTCAGAACCTTTACCCCTGCCAAGTACTAGACCACTGGAGCACATACACCTTTCCCTGCAGGCTCTTGATATATCCCTGGCTGTTTTTAAAAATTACTTGTCCTCTGTGCTAAAAGCATGGAGTTCAACATACTTCAAGATTACCTAAAAAGCTTCTGGAGACAGAAAATGACAGTTTAGATTGATGTTTCTCTTTTTAGCAGTTATCAGTAAGTACTCAAGACTTCCTGTGCATAACGGATGGAAATGAAGTTTGATTCACGAGAACTGAATTTATGGGCAGATTATTCAAGGGTGTTTCTAAAGGAAAATTGTTCCCATTAATTCTCAAAGTGCATTACAGAACAGATTAGTCCTTACAGAGTCTCTCTAAAAATACATGCAATGAAAAAAAAGGAGGAAGATACACAAGAAACTATACAAAGGACTGCAAGTCTTTATTTCACACTTCCACAATCACCTCACCTCACGCTTGCGAAGTGCAAGGCCAAACAAGACCCTCAGTCCCTGCAGCGCTGCACATACACAGAAGGGGCAGCTGCTTCAAACACTTTAATTTGCTGTCAAGCATACGTAACAAGGGGGTTAGCCCTGGGAAGGGAACCTGAGCTGGGACATCTGCTCTCTCACAACAGAGCCAGCGTGTGGCTTTGTAAGGAGAAAACCTTGAAACCAGGCTTCAGTCCTTGAAACTTTGTGGCAGCCACATTTCCCCTCCTATTCTGGCACATGTATTGAAGTTGCAACACTCTTCCCTCACCCCATTCCTCATCCTGCAGTGAAGTCCTAGGCCTTTGTTTATGACTGCAGTCTGTTACTACGCAAGTGAGATATGCCAGCAACATAGCATTTCAACCCAGCTACGGAACAAGGAGGGGAGAAACTTCTGTTCTCTAAACAGAAGTCAAGCTTTGACACCAAATCTATTTTAATTATTTGGCTAAAAATAAAGCTAAGGTCATGCTTAGCTACACAAAGATCAAAAGTTTATAGAAATCCATACTACAGACCTCAGGAAGAAAGTGTCATTAATGTCAAGAAGGTGTTGGTGAACTGTAGTTTAAAGGTGATTAGATTTCTTGAACCACCAAGGTAGCAATACACATAGAGAACGCCAGCCCTGGGACACAGAGGTATAGAGCTGTGGGGAAAGGAAAAGGCTAAAGAGTTGGTCAAGTCAGTTAGCTCTCATGACTTGCCTTAGCACCACGATACAGTGGAAAGAGCAAGTTCTCAGCATGCCATGGCAATGGCACATAAGATTAAGCGGCTGCGATTACTGTGATGTATACATTCCTCACTGGCATGCACTGTACGCTGTCTTTGTTTAAAAAGACAATCCTTTTATCTTTAAAATTTTGAAGAAGTTTTTTGGGTGGGGTTTGTTTACCTTAAATTTTGACAGCCACCTTTCACTGAAGGAAGAGACTTCATTATTATTATTATACAATGGGTAATTTTGCAAAGCAAAAACAGTACAAGACAAACCTGTCCATCACAAGCTTTCTAGAAATTCTAAGGTTCCTATTAGGTTAAGATGCTGCCAATTTTCTGACACCTGTGGCTGCCATTTCTTGACCTGAAGCAAATTTCTTTAATACTTGGCATGCATTTGAAGTATGCTTCTGTTTTCATGAGGAATACTTGTACAATAACAGCCACTGGATCTGTTAGCCCATGGTTGGGCAGCACACACTCTTCAGTACTTTCTACTGGCCTGAAGTTGCAACATCAATTTAAAGCAACTAAACCCCCTGACATCTATCTTGTACTCTGAATTTTTTTGTGTCTCATACACTTTTTGGAAGGATTTCTATGCAAGGAAGAAGTTTTGCCAGCCATTTATTCTACAGGAAGCATGGAGAAAGGCATCTAGAAATCACAGCTAGCTTTAACAGCACGCAATTTAAAAAACCTAAAAGATATGGGGAGGGTGTTTGGGCTTTTTTGTTTTTCATGGGATTCTTTGTTGTTTTGATTTTTACACTTTAGGGATTTGCTTTTGTATTCTTTCCTACAATCATGTGAGAGATTCTCAAATAACTGACTCTCAACAAGTGGGCTGGATGGGGAAGGGAGAAAGATCATCAATAACCTAATCTTCATTACAAATATTTAAGCATTAGCAACTATTACCCATTAACTTCTGATTAGCTGCGAACATTCTCATCTTGAAAAAACTATTATATGATTTAAGAAGTCAGTAGGGAAGCAGAGACTAAACATGAGAAAACATCAATCTCAACCTCCATAAATAAAGTTTAATCAAATGAAAGAAAGTGTTTATGTAATTAGATTCAGTAGGCCCCAAAAACAGACTTAATGTGCTTAGTAGTCACACCATGCAGCTAGAACCTATTTAGCTGAATATACTAATGCACTGGGATTGGTGGAAGCTGCCACTACTTCCAAAACAAGAGAGCTAGAGTTGAAGAATAAGCTTTATAAATCTGGTTTTGCTCTGATACTTGGAAAACCAGGGGTTTACATCCAAAACTTCTAATAGTAGACAGTCAAGAAACCTTTCTGGTAGATAAAGCACCACTACTTTCTGTATTATCATTGGTTAAGTTCTGTGCCCAGTCTTGCAGCATAAAGGTTCAACACGATCATATTCAACCCTAAAGAATGTATCTGCCGTGACCAGTACACCTGAAATCCTCAAAAAAATTAACATATTCATCTTCATAAAACCTTACAATCTGCTTCCAAGTTTAAGGTTTGTAAAGAACTGTTGCATAGAGCTCTCATTCCAATTAACATTTGAAGACTCCAGTTCTAAATCCTCTCTGGTAAGGCCAGTGCTACTGTTTAGTCACAGAAGTTGAGCAAAACGTTAGCTGCAGGACTTTTCGGAAGAATCAAAACTTGAGGTGGGGGAATCAAACTTGGGCAAATCACCAACCAGTCCAACTTAGGACTGTTTTATTCTCCTAAGCAGACTGCCTGTCCTGCTTCGGTGATTTAAATTTTGCTCAAGGATAAGCAGTGGAAGAATACTTAACTCAAGCCCATGATTCTGTTTTCCACACTCAAAAAAAAAGAAAAAGAAAAAAGAAGAATGTTTCTAAATACAGCTACTGACAGACCATGGAAAAAGCCTTCATATGTCTGAAAGTCTGGCACATAGAAAGTTTTTTTTTGGTTGGATTCCAGAAGTTACTTATTACTATGTGTGTGCGCACACATAGTATGCCTGCACGCAGAGATGCTGCCTTATTCATATACTCTACACACATAAGACATGCCTACACATTAAGCTACTGTGGAAGAACTCTTATGCAGAGATACAGTGGACACACTTAGCATCTGGCTTTCATTACACCAGTGAACATTTCCAACATGTTCAGCTCTGGCTAACAAGCTCCCAGTCCTGGAACACCCTGCCTGCAGGGCAGCCTTCCCCCCGACCCCCGCCAACATTTCTTCGCAACCTGCAGCCACATCTCACTGCAGGGAATAGAAAGCTGAACACCTAACTACATTTATCTTACTAAGAACAAGATGCTTATGGTTCTAGGAAAGCCTGGTCCAGTCCTATTGCCCTGGAGGAATACGTCTTGAATGGTCTATCTGGGAAAATCCTGCAAGAAAAACCTTAAATGCAAACTAGTATTGAGCACAGAACACAAGTATTCTTGATATTACTTTAGTCTCCAACTGAACATCCTCACAAAAAGATTACTGTGCACCACACAAAAAAAATAAAATTGTGAGTTGTCTATGGATTTGTTTTAGCTGCAGAAAGTGATATTGGTGTGGAGTGAAAAGCTGCTCAAAAAAATCACACAATGGGACAGAAAACGCATTCCTGGTGCAGAACGTGCAGTAAACGTGCAGCTCACCTACGAGGATACAACTGACGAATTCGGCAATAGTCCATCGGGGGAGAGGGAGGGGGAAAAAAATATAAGTGAGACATCTTTAAAGTCCTCCCACCATCACCACCACCCTCCTTTCATGTGCTACTAACACTTGGCTGTTTTCCACCCTTTTTAATGTTTTCAACTGAGAACTTTAAAATTGTAGGATGTCCACTAGCCTTTCACGGTATTCTCCAATTCTGAGACAGTATATATAATAGCCACACCTAATCTATAAAGGTTTTACACTGCCTATACTGGTTATACGCAATACATCTGTGTAAAAAGATCAGTATAGGCGATGCTTCATTTATAGCATCTCTTGCCCATGCACTTGCCCATGAATCCAAGAGGTTGTGGATGAGTTTATCCCCATTGTAGTTCCACTGAATTCAAAGGAGTTTTGATTTAGAAAAATGTTCCCTTGCTTGCTATTTTTGACAAACTTTTATTGTTTAATAGTTCATTGTCCTCCTCAGCCCCCTGACAAACGTTAGTATCTAGACTTTTATTGAGCAATATGGCTTTTACCAACACCAGCCAACATATATTCATTGTCCAAAGTCAGCACAGCAACAAAGCATCATCAAACCCAGGTCTTACCTGGTCTTTTTTAGACTTGTGTGAGGAAGCAACGTGAGCCAGATACTGAATGACCTTCTTGGTGTTCTCTGTCTTACCAGCTCCTGATTCACCTCTGTAAAGAAAATCTGCAATTCATTCACAAACAAGACGTAGGGGGACATATTCATATTTCTAACCCCCAAAGGGCTACAGAGCTCCTTAACTGCATTCTGGCCATTATGGCACCTCTCTCAAAACCAAGAAAAAACAAGTTGTACTGGCAAGCGATAACAGCGCAGCTGGACTGCAGGCTAGCCCTCAGCCAATTTGCTGCTGGGTACTGGTTCTGTAAATGTGTACAGAGGAGGGAAGGCAATAAAGAACTAAGTTTTCTAGACACTTGGATACAAAGATTGCCAAGTGGCTGAGTAATAAGCCTGAGGAGGCTGCTGTAGAGCTAGGGGTGAAAGGTAATGGAAGAGAATCTTTCAGAAGGAAGCCTCCTGACTGAGAGAAGAAACATACCAATTCCTTAAGCAGAACAGAGGGCCAACAAATTTTGCTGTGTTTAGAAGAGAAACTGCTGTATCAAGAGTATCTGTTACTGTAATCGGCCTCATCAGTATGAATGTACTTAAACACAACAGCTGCATCAAATCTGAAGGACTTCTCCAAGCCTCTTCTATTGACAAAGCTGTATTTCTTTAGGCGTTTGAGCACAGGGGCTGTTTCAAAACCTCCCTTCTTCCTCCAACTCTTATGAAAATTGCAGAAAGGATTACATATATATTGGAGGAAATGTAGTGGGACCTTCTTGACTCTCCACTATTACTTCATTTACTGAGCCCACCCCCAGCATTTACAATTGAGACAGTCCTCCAACCAAGATTTTTAACACAGACTTTGACATCCAGACAAGCTGACAACTGTAATACTCACGTGCAAAGGATGGATTGATCCTCTCGATCTACAATAAAATATTAAAAAAGTAGTTAGACTGAGACTCTAAAATTAAAATTCTGTGACAAAACGAAATCAACACCAAAACAAAACCAGGAACTAGTAGTAAACTCTGCCAAGGATCTTCAGAAATATAGCCAGGTAACCCCTTTTCTGGTAATAGATGCTAATGCCCCACCATCTGCCAAAGTATAATGGCACCACCACAATTTAGTTTTCTTCATCCAGAAAGAATATAGCTTGCACTGCAATTTTTCTGCAAACAATACAGAACTCTCTCACTGAATGTTTCTTTACCACAGAGCTACAGTTTGATGTACATCTACTTGTTCTTCAGCCCCCTCCCCACCATTACACTGGGCCCATAATGACTTACAGAAGTCATCAGCAGAGCAGTGGGAATAGAGAGGCAAGTGGGACAGGAACCATTACAAATACCAAAGCACCAAAACGTCACACCAGACAGAGGTTTTCACCCCCAAAAGAAACACTGGAGACTCAGAAATTTTTGTTACTTATTTTGTACTGAATGGACTTGAAAACTACAATGATGGGCAGTGGCCTAAGTCCTATACAGCTGATTTATTTGTGGCACCATCCCCTATTATATTAACAGAGCAGCTAGTAACAGCAAAAATTTTTTTTTTTCATGCTGACATACCAGTAGACATACTAATTCCTGTGTTCAGTTCCCAGCTGTGGATGATAACACCTTCCCAGCTACAGAACTTACTTCACCCAGCCTATCCACCACTATCTTCTCCCACATCTTTAACCTTCTTTCAGCTTTCACCTATGACTCCACTTCCTCATACAGGAGGAAGTCCTGACTAGCTCTTCCACCATGCCAGCATCCCACTGCTCCCTCACCACTTCTGTGTGAACACACACCCCTGGTTCTGCCTTGGTTTCACCTTTCATCCACCTCTCCACCCTTTGCCCTCCCTCCACCTCCAGTCTGCATCCCATTCCTCCCCCATGACACCAGTAACCAGCTGGGAGCCCTGGGTAGACTAGAGCGGGCCTGTGCCTACACCACAACTGCCTTAGTAGCTTGTAGGCACCACAGGGGCAGCGAGACCTGTTCAGACATGGAGCAGACTTAGGCACAGCAAGTCATTCAGACAGTCCACAAGAGCTATCGGGGCACTCACAGAACAGACTGTGCCACCAAACTCAAAATCCCCATTAGTTTTTAAGCTATCCATTTGGCTGTTGGTGTGTGTGTGTTTTGTTTGATTTTAATTTGTTGTTTGTGGTTTTTTTCTTCTTAAGATCAAGACCAGAGGACTATCTGATCATCCAGTCTGAAAACGTGAATAACAGCAGTTAGATTTAATCCAGTTATTGTCACTCATTCTTTTTTCCACACTGAGCTCCAATTTTGTGTTGGACTGAAGTCTAAGAGAGAGAGTCCAAAAAGAAAAAGAAAGCCTCAAACATCCATGAAAATAGAAAATTCATCGGATTGTTCTAATAAACTATTTTAGCAATTGGTTACCTTCATCGGTACGTTTATGGATGTGACTGTCTCCATATTTTAGCTACCAGTTCTTTCTGTTCCTTTCTCTGGTAGCTTAGAGAACCCAAGTGCACTCAGTGTTCTCCCCACCAGAGAGTACTTAGACAATATAATTGAGTCACCACTCAATTTGTTTTGTGTAAGATAAAGAAATTGAGCTCTAATTAGGGAAGGCTTTGCAGTCAGACAGAGTTCAAGTACCTGAAACTACTTTCCATACACTTAAACACTGCTACTACAGGTGAATTTAGCATTTCAGTCCTAAAGTCATGAATTACACATTCATTAAGAAAAAGTTCCTATTAACTCATTTTATAGAGAAGTATATCTAGCATTTGGACACGTTTTCATGGAATAAGGAAAGCAGGTAAACCCACCAAATTTGAGATTCTATCTTTACTTAAATTATTCTGAAACCAGTAATGGAAACATTAGGTTCACACGCTACAGATAGGTAAGTCCTCCTCTCAAGCTTCTTTACTGGAAACTGATTGTATGCAGATGAACACAAAAATTTAGAGGAAAATAATCTGCTTTATCCCTGTTAATGCTGTTCAGAGAGAGCTGATCAGCCCTAAGAATGGAAGAAAGCAAGCAGAAGAAAATCATCACTCAAATGGTTTCAGCCCAGCAAACTCTTAAGGATTCAAAACTAGATACTGCAGCTTTACGAGCATTGCATATTCATTTTTACAAGTGCTGAATTTTGTTCATTGCCTTTAAGATATGCACCCCTTTTGCTGAGGCACAGCAAAGAGCAGATGTTAGCCAGCTCTGAAAGCCCCACCCACCCAAGGTTCCCAGCGGGTCATGGGCTCAGCAGGCACACACCAGCCAGCCCTCTGCGAGACTGGGCACTTTGAGGGTGCATCAGGGGAATAACTAATGACTCGTTTATGGATTGCCTAAGGAAATGTATTCTTCGGTAGCGCTACACCTGGGTGCAATTCTCTATCACAAAGCAGCTATGTGAAAGGAAAAGATTGTGCCTCTGAATAACATCTGACTTTCAGGAGCTTGACTATAAACAAGCAGCCCACTTGTCCAAGAAAAAGTTATATTCTCATTCAGGTACTACAGAGGCTCTTCTAAGCAGCCAATTTGAGAGGGGGGGGGAAAAAAAAAAAAAGAAAAAAAGATAAAGATAACCATAAGGAAGGTGCTTCTTATTCCCAGCATTCAACTCTAATGTTGCAATTACCATCTGGCGCTCCTCAGACAGAAGCGCAGCCCTAAGTACTTGAAAAGTGCATGCCTTCCCGTTCCCTCTCCTCCAGGAGAGGATTCTTATTCCAGGAAAAAAAACCCAACAACCCAAACATTGGTAAGCAGACAGATAAATTAACTGCCCAAAAGAAAAAGATGACCAACATCAGATAACACTCAGAAGCTCTCTGAACACTTTTTGATCATGACAAGTTTTGCTGCACTTAGTTGAGAAGCTCTTTTCGAGCCTCATTCCAATGAGGCAAGGTAGCGACAGCACCCTGGAGTGACCCTGGGAAGTCCCAAAGGGGCAAGCACAAGATTTTTCCACACCTTAACACGGAACAAGGTGCTGAAAGGCGCTCGGGCAGGAAAAGTCAGACAGTGTTCATAAATCCTCTCAGCGCTACATTCTCCTCCCCCAACGTACTGTCCTGGTGGCCTGCTGCAGCTGCATTAGTCACCTCTGCTTTAAGCCAGCAGGAACGTACCTGCGAGTGCAGGCAAGCCACCGGCAGCGTGCAGACACTGCCATAAAAGGCAACATTCCTGTTTGCAATCCGGGGGAAATTCTTTCCCAGGACTGCAAAGCGGCAGTCATTGGGATAGCTGGAATTCTTCTAATTGTGTACAGACAGACAACTCAAATAATGTGTTGAGCAACAGGAAACTGGAGCCGACCAAGGGGCCAAAGAGCTAACGCATACAAAAGCGTAACTCTGAGACACGCTACCAATTAAGAATTGCTTTAAATGCCAATATTCATTCACCATACAATACTGACTTGTGCCATCACGAATCAGAATTCAGTTGCCCAGACAAGAGGCCACCTCCACCCTTTTTTTTTTTTTAAAGGATCATTCAACATGGGCGTACTGCACAACTTCAGTCAGTCAAAACTTGCCTTTACTCCATTGTCAGTTGTGCAAGCAACCTACTCAGCAAAAGAGAATGTGCTGGGTACCATAAACTCGGTTGCTTATAATAACACAATCAAGAAACGCCTCATTAAAAGAAATCTGCATCTGCTTTTCAATCCTAAACAGAGTCAGTTATTAAAAACAATCCAGAATAACAACTCATTAGTTAATTATAGCAACAGTTCTGTATTTCAGACCAGCTGGCAAGGAAAGCTTTTTATCTAGGCTCTTCTTTAGCTCTCATCATCACAGTATTCAAGTGATCATAAGAAGCAGCAGCCTCAAGCATCTAGAAATTCAGGAAGAAAAACATCCTTCAAATTTAACATCCTTCAAATTTAAGCTATACAGCAGTATGGTATAAGAAGAACAGTAGATTAATTTTTCTATATTAAAAAAACCATAATATCTAACTCATTCTTGACTTTCTTCAGTCCAAAAATAACGGACCTCATTTTAGACTGCTTGCAGGACCTCCAGCATACATTAAAAACTTTATTAAACCAAAATTTGTTTTAACAAGAGAGACATCTTGTACCTAAAGAGTCCTCAGCCAAATATTCTACCACAAAACAACAAATCTGAATGCTGAAATGCTGTGGTGAAATATATTGGCATAACTGATAAATTAATAGAGCCCCAAACTCTTGAATTTTGTTTTTAGACGTTTAAGGATGGGAGAAGAAAAAGGTTGGGAGGCTAGAAGAGAATGTGCAATTTAAGCTCCACATCACAGTTACGGAACATCCTAGCAGGCCTTTATCACCCACTTCCTCTGCATGAGTGACTCCAGTTTCAAGCCTGTTCATCTCCATAAAAGGAGAAGTCATATAGCATTCACACAATGGTGACATCATCTCTCCAGCTAAGAGGAAGTGTAGCTGAAAGGCAAAGGCTTGGCTTGCAGTTCCCTGCCTATAGCTGACTCATTAAGGCTAAAAGCTTAACCATAGCTAGATGGTACCACCCACCTCCTAACCACCGAGCGTCTGGCAGAACTGAGCAGCCTGGCCCTCTGGGTTTCCGTTACTATGCTGCTCCCCTAGCATCGCAGTGAATGCCTGTAGCTCAACTTAGGCAACTGGCTGGCTGACCAAGTTAGAGAGTTGACCTAAAGCAAGAATTAGTCTTAAATGCATGTAAGTGCTTCACATGCAGTAGTTTTGGTTCCTCAGTCCATCCTCTAACTTCTGTTCTGACCTCAACATAATCTTAAAACCAATGCCCTTCCCTCAGGGCTGTAACACAGGAGGAGCCGCAGGCACTTGACACGCTCTGCTACCCGGAACAACCCCACTGGCAAAAAATCTAATCAAGTATGTTCACTGTGGTGCTTTAACCTACATGCTGGTTTGAGTA